CCCCTCTGGCCCCTCTCCGGAAGCGGGAGGGGAATTCAAAGGGGGGAGGGGAAAGAAAGTAACTTCGGGAGAAAGAAAGGAACGTGCCTTCTTCTTCCCTCTCCCTCCCCCCACCTCCCTCTGATGAAGGGGGGCCCTCGGGGGGGGCCCTCACTGTCACCAAGGGACAAAGTCCCTCCCCCCGTGAGGCTGGAGAGGAAAAGGGGGGAGGGGGAGCCCTGGCGACTTGGGAGGCGGCGGGCAGGAGAAGTGGGGCTGGCAAGGGAGGGGGGGCCTCCCTGCCTGTTCCCTGTGATGGGGGGGACGTCGGCCGGACCTCTTGCTCTTTGGCACACACGGTGGGTGCTTGTGTGTGTGTTTGTGTTTGTCTTTTCCTGGATGATCTGGCAGAGAGGAGGGCTAACCCGATCCCTCTCAAGACCAGATCCTGAGCTGAGGATCAACTGCAGGAGGATGGGGATGAGGACACCACCCTCCACCAACACCCCACCCCGGCTTGGCAGTTTCCTTGTTGTGTCGCTTGTGTGAACACAGACCGTCTTTTCCCGAAAAGGCAGGCAGGAGACAAGTCGGAAAAAGATAGAGAAGGAGGCACACTTTTCCTCCCTGTGATGTTTTGGGGTTCGAAGAGAGCCAGCAGGTAATGTCCTGAGACCTGAACTCGGCCCGCCCTGGGTCGGCAACCCCACAACAAAAAAATGGAGAGGGCACGGAGGCTGAGGGGCGCCTTTGGAGATGCCCCCTGCCTTGGGATCCCCGAAGGGACCGAAATAACGAAGGGTCCCCACCCTCAGTCCGCTCCATCCATCGGACGGGCTCTGGCGTTTTTTAGACGTTGGTTTTGTTTACCATTCTTAGGGTAGCTTTGGTTTGATTCATTTTAATGTTTGTAGTCTTGCTGTTTTTAACTTTTAAATGCTGCCTTTTAATGATGTACGTAAGCCGCTTTGGCACCTTTTAAAGGAGAAAGATGGAGTAAAAATATTTTAAATAAATAGTGGGGAAAATACACTT